GGGGGTATCCAAGGTTCAAAAGTTCTCCCAAAAAGTAGTATTGTCATGACCTTCTAAGGAGTAACTCGTCAAAGTAGAGCCCTTTGGGCGAAAATTTCGTCCGTTTTGCTCTATCTCCAACCGTTTGGGCGCTAGAGGGTCTTTTTGACTATAAGAAGCTGAAAATTGCCAAGGCCGAAGGCCCGCTACATCATTCGATCATGTTCTTTAGCAAGTCGCGTTACACAAAATGGTCGGGCCGCAGGCCCGACCATCGCCGCTGGCAGGCCAAGCAGGCCCGGCCGGCCCTTGCCGAACGGATTTGCCGGCGGAGCGAAGCGGAGCTGTCAACTTCGTTTGGCGGAAGGGCGGGCCTGCTTGGTCATAATTCAAAAATTCTAGATGCGTCACAGGCGTTTTTCCTCAAATACCGTCCGAAGGGACAGTGACTGTACTATATGTAACAAGCAGGCCCGCCCTTCCTGCCGGGCCTGCTTGGCCTGTCGGCGGCGATTTGCTGAAGAACATGTTCGAATGATGTAGCGGGCCTTCGTCCGGCTTTTACCTGTCGTCTTTGGGTTTGCCCCAAAGACTCGAGAAAGGGATGTAACGGTGAAGCAGTGAAGCACCGCGACTACAACCCACCCTTCTCCTAAGAAAACGTTTTTAGCCCGCCCTTCTGCTTTGAAAAAGCTATCCAGCGGGCTTATGCAAACGACCTCGTGTGTGTCTGTGTGTCTGTCTGTCTGTCTGTCTGTGTGTCTGTCTGTCTGTTCCACTAGAAGGAGATGTGCTAGAGACTTGAAATTTTCAGGGTATCTTAAGGTCCACTCCTAGAGAACGAAACGCCTACGGCAAATCCTGGCAACCTCCCCTAAAGGGCTAAAAGGGGGTATTAAAGAAAATGGGGTAGGCCAAAAAAGTCAGAATTTTTTTTTGTTTTATGATCTCCTACGGAGTAACTCGTCAAGAAAGAAACCTTCGCCGAAAATTTAATCCGTTTTGCTCTATCTCTAACCGTTTAGGCGCTAGAGGGAGTTTCTATCACGAAAGTGACCCAAAAATAAACACATTAATTTTAGAAAATATTAGATGGTCTCCTAAGGGGTAACTTGCAAAAGTAGAGCCCTTTGGGCGAAAATTTCGTCCGTTTGGCTCTATCTCTAACCGTTTAGGCGCTAGAGGGTCTTGTTTGACGAAAATAAGTTAAAAATTGCTGTAGTGAACAATTAAATGTAAAAGAAGGCCCAAAACCGCAAAAGAGGTAAGAAACTCCCTCCCCCAACCCCAAAAAACGTTTTCTAAGCAGAAGGGTGGGTTGTAGTCGCGGTGTTTCACCGTTACATCCCTTTCTCGTGTCTATGGGGCAAATTTTAAGGACGACGGGCTTTGCGGGCCGAAGGCCCGTTACATCATTTGATTACGTTCTACAGCAAATAACGTGACAGAAATGGTCAGGCCGCAGGCCCGACCATCGCCGCCGGCAGGCCAAGCAGGTCCGGCCCCTGCCGAACGGAGTTGCCGGCGCAGCGATGCGAAGCTAGCAACTTGGTTTGGCGGAAGGGCGGGCCTGCTTGTTTGGGGTGGGGGGAGAGTTTCCTTTCTATTTGGCGGTTTTCAGGCCTTTTTCTACAGCTCGTTTTTCACTATGGCAATTTTTTTAGCCCGCCCTTCTGCCAAACGATATTGCCAGCGCTGCTTCGCTCCGCCGGCAACTCCGTTCGGCAGGGGCCGGGCCTGCTTGGCCTGCCGGCGGCGATGGTCGGGCCTGCGGCCCGACCATTTCTCTCACGCGATTTGCTGAAGAACATGATCGAATGATGTAGCGGGCCTTCGGCCAGCTTAAACATGTCGTCTTTGAGTTTGCCCCGAAGACTCGAGAAAGGGATGGAACGGTGAAGCACCGCGACTACAACCCACCCTTCCGCTTAGAAAACGTTTTTGGGGGTGGGGAAAGAGTTTCCTTTATATTTTGCGGTTTTGAGGCCTTTTTCTGCAACTTATTGTTCACTATGGCAATTTTTAGCTCATTTCCGTCAAAAAAGACCTTCTAGCGCCTAAACGGTTAGAGATAGAGCAAAACGGACGAAATTTTCGCCCACAGGGCTCTACTTTCTCAAGGTCCACCGTAAGAAAACATAAAAGACAATATTTTTACCAACTTTTTAGGCCTTTCCTGTTTTCTTTGATACCCCCTTTCAGCCCCTTAGGGGTGGCTGGCAGGATTTGCCGTAGGCGTTTTGTTTTGTGGGAGTGAACCTTAAGATCCCCTGGAAATTTGAAGTCTCTAGCACATCTCCTTCTTGTGGAACAGACAGACAGACAGACACACAGACACGAGGTCGTTTGAATAAGCCCGCTATATAGCTTTTTCAAAGCAGAAGGGCGGGCTAAAAAAAGACCCTCTAGCGCCAAAACGGTTAGAGATAGAGCGAAATGGACGAAATCTTTATCTGTAGAGTTCTACTTGGACGAGTTACCCCTTACGAGAACATATAATTAAAAAAAAAACTTTTTGGGAGAGTTTTTGAACCTTTGATACCCCCATTACCCTTAGGGGTGGTTGCTAGGATTTGCCGTGGGCGTTTCGTTCTCTACACTGTAAATCTGGGGTGTCCAGCAGCTGTGCGACTAAAGTCGCACGACCCAGGTTTCTGTGCGACTTACAGCACACAGTTGCTGGACACCCCAGATTTACAGTGTACCCGCCCGCGGCGGGATGGGTGGGAGTGCTAGCGCTGCAGTGAGCAGCAGGACTACGTGGACGGGGAGGCCCCGGGTAGGCCGTCCCGCTGCACGGGCGTGTGGCGCGGGCTTGCCTCACTGTAAATCTGGGGTGTCCAGCAACTGTGCGCTCTAAGTCGCACAGAAACCTGGGTCGTGCGACTATAGTCGCACAGCTGCTAGACACCCCGGATTTAAAGTGTAAGAGTGGACCTTAAGACACCCTTAAAATTTCAATTCTCTAGCACATCTCCTTCTAGTGGAACAGACAGGCATACAGACACGAGGTCGTTTGCATAAGCCCGCTGGATAGCCTTTTCAAAGCAGAAGGGCGGGCTAAAAAGGAAAATTACGTGAAGCAGAATTTGTTTACAAAATTGTGTTAAAGGGGTTATGTCAAATGTTATTGAGCAAAACGACATTGTGTGAAAAAAATTATGTGAACCGTCGTAGAACCGTTTCCTCCCTGGCGCTCATTGATGCGGCCGAAGTTCTTAGACCCGCCACCAGGTCTGCGACTACCCTAGTGACGTGTCTAAGAACTTCGTCCGTGTCAGCCAATGAGCATCAGGGAGGAAAGAGTTCGGGAAGCATTACTGTTCTTCTTTGGATCCGGTTTAAACTGGGTGACATGCCCTATGCTCACTCAAGTACTCAATGAAATCACTAGATTCGGAACACCCATACTTTACAACTACGTTGCTACTGCTCTCAGAAACGCCTCTCCCAGAGCTGCGCTAGGTGGCCTCCCCCGCTGCGCACGGCTTAGTGGCTACCCCCATTACCTTGTCTCTTGGAGAGCCAGTAAAGGGGAGATGTCTCCCCCCACTTGCGAGGTAGACTTTGCAATCGGTCGGTTACAACACCAGCGAGCTTATCTGATAGCATTCTGTCTTTCTCACTCCTATCTCACGTCAGATATGAGTGAGAGAGACAGTAGACTGTCGGGTAAGCTCACCGAGGTAGTAACCGACCGGTTGCAAACTCCATTGCGAGGCCTACACCATGCCTCATCGCGAGGCTTGCTACGTTAGAGTCCACAAGCATGAGGGTGTGAGCCCTCTCAGAGCGGAGATGGGCTAAACCGACGTGATTCCCCAGGCTAAGATTCCCATGAGGATAGCCATGGCCACGCGTTTGCCATGGCCGCCCATGGCCCCGCATGGCCACTGGACATGGGCCGAAGGGCCATGGCCAAATGCTCATGCTCATGGCAATTTTTGGCTATTGGTGCTAGTGGCCATGACAATCATGTTACCAAACATGGCCACCATCACTGTTAAAAAAATTTCATTACATTTGAATAACATTTATATGAAGCTATTTTCATTACAATTTCATTACAATGTTATAAAATTATCATTACAATTGAGTAATGAAATTTCATAACACATGTTATTAAAAAATTGACAACTTTGTAAAAGAAATTTGTTTTGCTCTAACCCTTATGGCATCAACTCCTCAACCAACTAACGGATTTTACAGGCCGTAACCATAGAAGTTTACCGTCCCTTACCGGGAGTTGAACCCGGAACCCTTGGGTTGGAATACCCTCGCCTTTGACCACTCGGCCACGAGGATTACCTGAGAGTGGTCGAGCTGTAACGTGGTCTTATGCCACCACTGGCCGAAGGGAGTTTCCAAATTGTTTAATAAACATGTAATGAAAATTTAATAACATTGTTATGAAAATGTCATAACATGCACTGAAAAGGGGCGTGTAATGAAATTTCAATAGCGTGTAATGAAATTGCCATTAAATTTAATAACACTGTTCTTAAATTAAGAGTGTCATTAAATTTCATGACAAATTTATTAAAATTAATGTTCATTGCGTAGTGAAATTTCAAACATTTTTAACAGTGATGGCCACGTTATGTGGATCTTGGCCATAGTAAGGAGCAGTGGCAATGGCCATTTTATAGTAAATATTGTAAAATGAGTATTAAGTTAAAGGTTATATAGTAGTCAGCATAGATAGAAGGGATATCTATTCAGAGTGCCCAAACCGAGGCGGAGCCAAATCCGGTGTCTGTTTTGGCCTAGCTCAAGCCGTTTACAAGTTGCAGGAAAAAAGATATCCGATTTCAATGAAATTAAAATGACCCTACTAAAAATACAAGGAAGTAGCTACAAACCAAATTTCAGGTCAAAATTCCAAGAAATACAGTTTTTATAGGATGTTGCAATTTCATGGCCCTAAGGCCATGGCCACTATTACATGCCATGATCACTGCTCCCATGGCCACCTATGGACATCCATGGCCACCCATGGCCATAGGAAGGCCATGGACAGGCTCACCATGGCCAACAAGGTGGCATAGTAAACGCTCTCTTGTCCATGGTAAGTGTGCTCGTGGCTATGGTAAACCATTTTGCGTGGCAATAGACAACATGGGAATCTTAGCCTGGGTTTTAGTGGGAGCACTGTATCTCCCCACAACGTGAATGTAACCGTCATTATTCGGAGAAAAGGAAAGAGAATTTTTAAAATACCCTCAAACCTTAATACCAATGAAAGTACGACATGCGGAACATAGTTCAAAATACCAAGGCAGTAGAACGCAGACCATGCCTCGCGTAACAGGCTCCACGATATCACACGAACACTGTTACGCCACGACGTCACATCTAACGTGGCCTACGACGCTGAAACCGGAGTCGGTCAGTAGTAACGCTAGCAGGCGCGGCGTCTGCCATACAGAGTTGCCTGCGGAGCAAAGTTGAGCTAGCAACTTAGTTTGGCGGAAGGGCGGGCCTGCTTGCTTTTCAACAGGCCCTTGTAAAACTAAGCGTAGTGCCGAGATTTCACCCTCGGTTATCTGAGGAAATGTCATTGAAGTGTTGCACTGTACCGTGAGCTAGGCAGAAAAGAAATGGGTGCAAAGCGCGAGTAGGTTGCGTTTTCTTCGTCATTGACATTATCTTCAGAGATCAGCACTCGTTGATAGTCGCGTCGTACTCAGTCATCCACACGCATTCCGTCCTATATATTCGGCCGGTGAAAGTCCTGCCCCACAGACTGTTTGTGCAACATGAAGCTCGTAGTTGTCCTACTTGTCGCTGGAGCGGGCCTTACAGCGGCCGGCCTGACCCTTCCACAAGCCAACCAGACCGACGAGGAGTACGTCCTGCCCAAAGGCTTTATCATCGGTGCGGGGACGTCCTCGTACCAGGTGGAGGGCGCCTGGAACGAGTCCGGCAAGGGTGTGAGCGTGTTTGACTACTACTACCACACGCGGCAGCCCGACGGACCAAACGCAGACGTGGCCTGCGACTCGTACCATAAGTACAAAGAGGACGTCGCCGTGGCGAAAGCGCTCAAGGTAAAGTCCGGTGGTCCTTGGGTACAAGGCAAAAAGTCATAGTTACGTCAAACATTAGGTCAGGACCACACCGATAAATGGAGTGAAGTGTTCAACTGGCGTGCACGACGCAAGTTCTCAACACTTTGTTGCCCACATTTTAGTGTTTGACAGGATATCAAAATACTTTTAAGTCTTCAACAGTGAATTTGAACACTTTCAAATGTCGAGAGCTTCGTAGCCAACCCTAATGTTAAAGAACAATTAAGTCTTCAATTTTACAGTAAACCACTTTGTAGTATTCAAATATCTAGTCAAACAGTTGAAAGTTTGCAATATAGTCTTGAGCTCTTGCATGTGCATGCCAGTTGAACACTTTATTTATCAGTGCATAGCCATGATCAGTTCACCTGCACGGAAAAATAGATAAGTTGAAATGCCTTTTGGAGACAATAGACCCTTTTACCATTAGGTAATTGAAGAAAAGGGTGTAGATTATCGGACCGGAAACAGCTGCTTTTAACACATTCCTTGCGGCATGACCACTGAGTGGTACGTGGTCACACTTTCAAATTGATTCATAGGTACCAAAATTGACCTGCAAGGAACGTGTAAATAACGCGAGGGGTCGCCGACTAACCTGAGTCGTGTACCCAGTACTATATATGTATTATAAAAGTATTATAGAACATTAGAGGTATTAAAGAGTATTATAAGTATTATAGTCTATTACAGGATATTATAAATATTACGGTATTACAGCTAGTATTATAGGGTATTACAAGATACTATACAGGATGACAGGCAATTTTTGGAAGCTAGAAGTTCCACTGCCACTCTCCAAGTGCTCTCAATTCCTTAAGGTGATACAGGACTGAAACTGGAAAAGTCCTTCAAAAAACAGCCATTTTGAGTTTAAAATCAAAATGCAAATCAAATCAAGAAAAAGCTCTCTATTTCATTCTAAGTTAGTTTATTGCGGTTCTTTTAAGGTATAATGGGAATTAAACGTAACTGTATGGTCGCGACACGTTTTCCATCTTCAAAAAACGGGTCGCGACCACAGTTACGTTTAATTGTAGGCTTATTATACTTTAAAAGAACCGCAATAAACTAACTTAAAATGAAATAGAGAGCTTTTTCTTGATTCAATTTGCATTTTGATTTTAAACTTAAAATAGCTGCCTTTTGAAGGAATTTTCCAGTTTCAGTCCTGGATCACCTTAAGATTCACATAGTTGACTACTTAAGCCCTTTCATCACAGAGTTGAGCCCCTAGTTTGAAGCATGTTGTTTCTGGTTATATTTTAGAGTTATGACAATTCAGTTGATAAAAACTGAGTAGGTTTTTTTGTATATTGGTTCCTCTTTAAACAAATCTAACAAAAGAGTTGCGTAAACTTTGGGTTTATGAAGAAACGACAACTTTCCATACTTGAGTCATTTGTCCCAATTATTACTGAACGTGCAAGATTTCTGAAGACAGGATAACGATAAAACCTTTCCGTTACTTTCAAAATATTTGGTAGACAAGTCATTTTGGGCTTAACCAATGAAAGTTGTAGAAAGTTATTATTTAAGAGAAGAAAATAATTTAAATCAAAATTGTTGACAAAAGTAATATTCTTAAAACTATACACCAAGATGGTTTTCTTGTTTTAAATAATAAGTTTCTGCAGTTGTCATTAGTTCAGCCCAAAATAACATGTTCATGAAGTATTTTTTAGTAACGGAAAGGTTTTTTCACTACCCTGGCTTCAGAAATCTGCGCATAAAGTCATCGTTGGGACAAATGACTAATGTATATGTAAAGTTGGTGTTTCTTCACAAACCCATAATTTACGGCACTAGTTTTTTGTTTGAATTGTTTAATCGTTTTATTGTTTTCATTAAAAAACAAAACAAAACAGAAACAACATGTTTAAAACTAGGGGCTCAACTATGATGCAAGGACTTGGTTTTTCCCTGTAGATTGCTGATAACTAAAATACATGCTCATGCCAAAAGTTTTGTGAGCAATTATTCGCTTAGTCCGTCACCTCCCCTTGAGTCACCATAGGTTCATCTGCAGTACGCTTTATTGAGTTCTCCAAAGGTTTGCTTTCGATTTGCTAAATGTTTGGACCAAAAAAAAGAGGAGAGAGGGGAGGGGGGAGGGAG